ACAGGAGGTGAAGGAAAGACCGAGAAACAAGGGGTTGCAGAAGCTGCGGAATGCAGAAGTCCCACTGGAAGATGAGCCAGACATCTTTGAATATTCAGAGCATACATTCGAGGAGACAAATTCAAATCGCATTAAATGAAGGTAGCGTACGAAGGGGCGGGAAAGCGCTATAATGACCAAGAAGTATGTACGCATTCTGACACGCATCGAGAGGAATAACCGCCGGATTTCTAACCTCCAGACTAGAAGCCAAACACGCCGACTAACTGTTGCTAGTGGGGTGTTTGGGGGGCAATTGTGGGAGCCGAATAATTTTGGACCAACAGGAGCGGACCAATCTGGTCCAGAACATAACTTCTATTCGGCATTGACCCTATCCAATTGAGGGGCCAAATAAAAGAGCCGAAATTCCTGCCAGTGAAACAAGGGCGGTGTAGAAGTACGTGGCAAGGACTAGGAGTGGGCCAGGCCCCAAGAGAATACTATAAACACAAGATCTTCAGTCCTAAAGAGGTATGTGAGAAATACTGTGCTTAACTTAGAATACAAGCTTCCTCGAGTGTAGATACTAACTTGCCCGTCGGAGTGCTAATTCCGGCAACCCCGACCGGAGTGTTTATTCTTTTTCAAGTGACCAGAAGAGGATCACAAGCGTTCCCCAGGATCCTGAAGAGTATTTCCAAACCACATTACCACAACTATGTTTTGCAAAACTGAATTGTATTGATTATTGGGACCATCTGTATATAAAAGTCCAAGGAGATTATTCCACTATGTGTGGTGACTCTGGATACTAGGGAACAGATCCAGGTTGGGTTGTGATGACTCTAGTGATCAATAATTGTAAGGAAAAGACCTGGGCTAGACTAGGTGACCTTCAATTGGATCGTCTTAGAGAAAAGGTCTAGGTTGCCACCCCGAGGATGACTCTTGGTTTTATATTGGATCCAACGGGCATATTGCCTTGAGAACTGTGTGGCGTGTTACTTGTTATTCTTGGTACCCAGAAAATTGTTGATTATCATGTTGTAATCTGTTTTAAGTGGAGAATGTCATTTGTAATGTTTTTGAAAGACATGAGTGTTTTAACTGTTAAACTGTGGAACCTTCTTTGTGCGTATTGATTTCCAACTACACAACCAAATAAGGAATTTAGCTGGAGAGCATGCGGCAGAATGGATTAAGCCAACCACCTGCCAACAAGCAGATGAGAATACCATTGTGATTCGCCCACCCGAGGGCACTCCGACGATCAAGTCAGTCAAATAATCTCTCAAATATATCGCACAAGTACTCAATGCACAAATTAAAGCGTACCTTAGACCCACGGGGTGCCTTACTTTTATAGTGATTAGTGTCCAACTTTCCCTAGAAATCTTATTTCATGGGACTCTATCCTTTACAAAGATAAAATTTATCATAACTCACACTATTTAGATTAAGATGAACTTCATCAAGAGTCTCATCTTTATCCAAATAGGTAAGCTGATGTCATCTAGGACTCTTGTCCTTTATGTGAATATCTCGGATTTCAATATTACCACACCATATCTCCGCACCATGGTCCACCCATGTGGCACCTCGGCTAACAACCCCATCTATGTGGACTACCCAAAAAATATGTCCCCACTACTGCCTCATGGGTTCTATTACCTCGGCAACCTGAGGTGATGGAACCTGCATCATTTCATCTCCTAACATGTCAGCTAAACAACATGCTAGAGATACTCTTTTGACCAAAATCATAACTCGCCAGCGTAAAGAAACAAGGACTCAAATGTCCACTCATCAAGAATCAAGAACCAAGAACCATCATGTTCTATCTCATCCAGGTTCAACATCTCGATACAGATCGCACTATAGCAGAGATCATGACTTGCTAGTTCAAGAACATCAATATCCTAGTATCAATTCATCAGGAACCAAGAACAAACAAGTTTTGTCCCGTCCAAATTCAACATCTCAACCGAGATCAACATCTCAACCAAGATCAACATCTCAACTGAAATCATCATCTCAACCAAGATTAACATCTCAATCGAGATCATCATGTCAACCAAGATCAACATCTCAACCAAGATCACCATCTCAACCGAGATCGCCCTACTAGCCGAAATCGTGACTCGCTAGTTTGAGAATTCCAAGAACCCAAGACGCGTGTGAGCTATTGCACTATAACTGTCTCAACCATATTGCCTCTATGTGTCATCACCAGATTGGAGTGTATCAATCATATTCCCATCGTGTCGCATTAGTTTTGCCCCATGCCGCCTGACGTCAATACGGGCACGTCATCCAAGGCAATTTCATCATGTTTTGTCATCTTTTCATTTTTTGACAAAACTTTCTTCCCTCTCTCTCCATCTCTTCACTTTGCAAACACAAACCCTCTATCTTCTCAAACTTTCTCTCTCTACAAAATTTCTCTCAAACCTCCATTGTTGTTCCTTCAAGCTCTTTGCAACCGTCTGTTCATCACCTCCGACGAGCCTTTCATCGTTTGGCTCCAGTAAACATGATTGTCTGACTCCAACGAACTTCATTCTGGCGTCCATTTCTCGATTTCTCCCTGTAAGTACCCCATTTCTTTTTCACTTTCCTTACTGTTCTGAAGTACATTTCTTTTTCTTTAGGCAATTGTAACTTTTGTTTCTAACAACTTCTGTTTTTGTCAGCCCGAAGTGCCTTCTGATATAACTAAACAAGCTTCATTTTGTGAATGTATGTCTTTCTTCTTTTTCTTCTAAGTGTTCAAATGTTTGCCTTTTATAACTGCTTTGTGTATGCTTGCTATCTTCCTTATCTTGTATGTTCCCATATTTAGATTTTTTCTTATCTTTCCAAGTCTAACAACTTGGGTCCTTACCTCGAATCAGAATACCTAGGGTACATTATCTCGGTTTAGAACTGATCAATTATCTAGAATTAACACATCTCAGATAGTATCTCTAACATTTGTCTCGGATAGCTTCAACTTGTAAAATTTTTCTAAAAAATTTCGCAAGTGTTATATTCATTCATGCTTAATGTGAACCTAAGTGTCCCTTATGTTCACATTAAGGATGCATAGCCTGACTATTTCCTAAGTCTAACTTAGACATCCATAATCGAGGTCATCGTGTTTGGCTCACCCAAACTAAACACTTAAGGCTTAACCTTAGTGTACCGAGAGTACTATCTACCTCGGCTTTTTGCACAAACTGACCAAAATATGGCAAGTTTTGTCTTGTTTCATACTAAAACATCGCCTTATACTTAGTTCAACTCTGTCATCATGGCAAGTCTAAGTTAATCGTCTTGTTCACCATGGGAACATCACTTGATTCTTACCTAAGTCTAACTTAGACATCCATGATCGAGGTCATTGCGTTTAGCTCGCCTAAACTAAATACTTGAGGCTTGACCTTAGTGTACCGAGAGTACTATCTACCTCGGATTTTTTCACAAACCAACCAAGATATGGCAAGTTTCGCCTTGTTTCACACTGAAACATCACCTTATACTTAATTCGACTTTGCCATCATGGCAAGTCTAAGTTAATTGCCTTGTTCACCACGATAATAATGCCTTAACATTTTTTCAGCCTTATCTCACAATCATAAACAACATTTTGTAATGAACAAAGTCGATACTACTATTTTATCAATACTTCGACTTGAGGTTATTAACATCATTAGAGCCGAGCTCCAAATTTTGTCAAGCCACATTGTAAGGCCTCGACAATCTCTTACTATCAAGATCTTTTAATCTCAAGTAAGCTTTGTTTTATCTCAACTCTGTTCACCTCCGGTAAGTTCTGATCTTTTCAAAATTGTTCACCTAGGTCGAAATCCTATTTTCTTGGACCTACTCATCTAGGCCAAGATCTTGTCTTCTGGATCTGGGATCTGCTCACTTAGGCTGAGCTCTTGTCTTCTCGGACCTAATAATCTAGGTCGAGATCTTGTCTTTTGGGATCTGGGATCTGCTCGCTTAGGCTAAGTTCTTGGCTTCTCAGACCTATTCATCTAGGCTGAGATCTTGTCTTCTAGGATCTGGGATCTGCTCACTTAAGCTGAGCTCTTGTCTTCTCAGACCTACTTATCCAAAATGAGATCTTGTCTTCTGAATTTAGGATCTGCTCACTTAGGTTGAGCTCCTGTCTTCTCAGACCTACTCATCTAGGCCGAGATCTTGTCTTCTAAGATCTGGGATCTATTCACTTAAGTTGAGCTCTTGTCTTCTCGGACCTACTTATCTAGACCGAGATCTTGTCTTCTGGGATCTGGGATCTACTCACTTAGGCTGAGATCTTGTCTTTTCAGACCTACTCATCTAGACTGAGATATTGTCTTCTGGGATTTGGGACCTTCTCACTTAGGCTGAGCTCTTGTCTTCTCGAACTTAATCATCTAGGCCGAGATCTTGTTTTCTGGATCTGGGATCTGCTCACTTAGGTTGAGCTCTTGTCTTCTCAGACCTACTCATCTAGGCTAAAATCTTATCTTCTAGGATTTGCTTCACCTAGGCCATTCTCTTCCATCTGGGATCTGCTCCACCTAGGCCATGCTATTCTATCTTGGATCTGCTTCACTTAGGCAATGCTCTTCTATCTTGGATCTGCTTCACCTAAGCCATGCTCTTCCATTTGGAATCTACTCTGCCTAGGCCATGCTATTCCATATGGGATTTGCTCCACCTAGGTCGATGTCTTTTCTACTTAAAGGTCGCCTTCATCTCCTCGGGAGTGCTCATATCGCTCTTATCTTTACATCCATTCCTTCTAAAAGGGTCTTTATATTGTCAATGTTGACGCATTCTCCATCTTCGTTGAACTCGTCGTCACCAACACGTTGATGTTGCACGATGATGACCGTCTATTCTAACTAAGTTCCCACAGACGGCGCCAAATTATGGGTGTTGATTTCCGACCTTCACAACTAAACAGTGAACTTAGCTGAAGAGCACCAACTAGATAGATTGAGCTAACTACCTGCCAACAAGAAGATGAGAATACTATAATGGTTCATCCACCCAAGGGCACTCTGATGATCAAGTCAGTATTCTTATCTCTCACAGACATCGCTCAAGTATTCAATTCACAAGGAAAAACATACCTTAGACCCACGAGGGTGCCTTACTTTTATAGCAAGCAGTGACCTAATCCCCTAGAAGTCTCACTTCGTAGGACTCAAGCTCATTGCTTATCTCGGACTCTCGGCTAGATAGGGATAAACTGCTCATGAGCATTATCCTTAACCAAACTGAGAGCCTCTTCTGTTCTAGGGCTTTTGTCTCTTATCCGAATATCTCGAAATTTCAGTATTACCGCAGAACATCTCAGTAATGCCATGGTCACCTCGGCAAACATGACTCATCCACGTGGCACCTTAGCCGACATCTCGAAGCTATCTTGGCCACGTGGCATCACTCGCAAAATACTTCCCCACAACTGCTCCCTAGGTTCTATTACCTCTACATACTAAAGTGATGGAACCTGCACATATATCTCTCCGATCAAGATAGTGACTCGTCGTCGTCAAGGAATCAAGGAATCAAATGTCCACCTTATCAAGAATCAAGAACTATGTTCTTTAATCATCTCAACCGAGATTACTTCTCTAGCCGAGGTTATTACTTAAGAATTTCAAGAGCCTTTACTGTGCATGAGCTGTCACTCACCATTATCTCAACTGTTTTCGCTTTTCAATTTCTATACTTAGATAATTTTTTTGACTTACTCCTTTTTTCTTGTAGGCCATCCAACACGTGCACTCCCATGCGGTCAAGGCCAAGCTGGTGAAGAAGGTCCTTGTAAAAAAGACACAAGAAACAGCAACTCTCCTTGCTTCACTCAACGAAGCTGAGACCTGCACTCAGAATTTAATGGACAAGGCAAAAGCTGCAAAAATTGCAAAGAACAAAGCCAAGGCTAAAGCCGAAGCTGCTAAGGCCGATGCCAAGGCCGCCAAGGTCAGAGCGGCCGAAGCTGAGGCCAAACTCACTGAGGCCCTCGAAGTGAAGGACGCCAAGATAAAGTCGGCCAATAAAAAGGCCTTTAAGGAGGGGCAAGCCGCCATATGCGATCAGTACAAACAATAAGTCAATCTAGCCTGTAACCGAGGCTATTACTTGGACTAGATGGCTGCACTTAAAAGGTTATTTTTCCTCGAGGACTCACCATTCCAGGATATCAGTCAACTCGAGGTCCCTTTTCTACCAACTCTTGCCAAGTCCGAGGAAGATGAGGCACATGAAAAGGCCGACGCTAAAAATGTCGAAGAAGGTGCTAGCAAAGAGGTTGTTGTTGGGTCCAAGTCCCTAACTCTGAATTATCAAATCCTGGTTCTGACTGAGGAGGATGGGGAAGAGGTCTCCAAAAGCACCTCACTGAAGAAAACCATTACATCCGAGGTCAAGGTTCTTGTTACTGAGATGAGTCTTGACCAAACATTACAAGAGATTGATGTCAAGGTTGCTGCTGAGCCCGAGGCCAAGACGAGCAAGAACAATGAGCCTCAACCTAGTACTTAGGTTTTTTTCTTTCTTCTGAATTTGTACTTTTGCCTTTTCGATAGTTGTAATCTTTTGAACACTCTATTTTTTGGGCCAATGTGCCTTATGTTTGTAACTAAACAAGTTTCTCCTTAATGCCCCTTTTTTTGTCTATGTGTTGTTTTAGTTTCATGCCTTGTGTTATCTCTTTTTGTCTTGTATGTTTCCATACTTTCGATTTTTGAAATACTTCTAAGTACAACTTACTTGTTTAATCACTTTGGATTAGCACACTTCAGTTAGTCATCTCGGATTGGTATATCTCGAATAACAACTCTTGTTAATTATCTCAGCCTAATTGCACTTATAAAAATTTCTCATCAAATTTTTACAAGTGTTGTTTCTTCACTTGTACTAACTACCTTCTGGAAAGACTTCACCCCTCCAAGTCTAACAACCGGGTTGGTTATCGCGGGTATACCTCAGGTATCCCTTCATTCAATTATCTCAGATAACTTCAACTTGTAAAACTTTTCACAAAATTTCACAAGTGTTATGCTCATTCCTATTTCCTGCCCCTTAATGTGAACCTAAGTAACCTAAGTACCACTTATGTTCACATTAATAACATATCACCTGATTATCGCCGAAGTCTTACTTAGACACTTCTGGCCGAGGTCATCATGTTTGGCTCGCCCAAACGAAGCACTTAATGCTTAACCTTAGTGCACTGAGAGTACCATCCTCCTCGGTTTTTCTTACAAGTTGACCAAATCATGGCCAGTTTCGCCTTGTTTCATGCCGAAGCATCATAGACTTAATCAACTCTACCATCAGGGTAAGTCTAAGTTAATCACCTTGTTTCAAGTTAAAACATCGTAGATTTAGTTCAACTCTACCATCATGGCAAGTCTAAGTTAATTGTCATGTTCACCATAGGAACATCACCTTCAGGCTGTGCAGTCTTATCGTATAATTTTCAGTAACATTTTATAAAACAAAATCAAGCTAGTATTGCATTAATACTTTGAATAATAATCTATTACATAAAATAAACTTGAAAATAGAAATTAATAGTAGAAAAACTTCAAATTGCTTATGTTCCAAGGTCTTTGCAGCTCTTTGCCATCAATGTCCTCAAGCCGATAAATGCCATTACCTGCGACCGAGATAATGCGATATGGTCCTTCCTAGTTTGGGCCAAGCTTGCTCTTCCTGGGATCTTTCTTATTACCGACAACCTTCCTTAAGGCGAGGACCCCAATCTAAAATTCCCTGGGATTGACCTTTTTTTTGTATGCCCTAGCGAGCTACTACTGGTATGCCCCTAGCCAAATTGCTGCTCTTTCTCTTCTTTCTTCTATCAGATTAAGATCTCGAGCAAGGAATGCCTCATTTGTTCCATTCTCCACTCCTTGGGTTCTAATTCCAAGGATGTCGATCTCCAGTGGAATAACTGTTTCAGTGCCATATGCAATGGGAAAAGGAGATTCACTTGTAGATTTTCTCAGCGTAGTCTGATATACCCACAGGACATTAGGCAATTCCTCTACCCACTTGCCCGTTGTAGCTTCCATCCTTTTCTTGATCCCATCCAAGATGGTTTTATTAGATGTCTCAGCTTGACCATTACTCTGGGGAAGCTAGAAGTAGAATAGTAGTTCTTGATCTTGTACTTTACACAAAATTTTTTAATCAACTTACTGTCAAACTGGGTGCCATTGTCTGCCCCAATGGCTCTTGAGATCCCAAACTTGGTGATAATGTTCTTCCAGATAAATTTTTTCACATCTACATCTCGAATTTTGGCGAGGGGTTCAGCCTCTACCCATTTCGTGAAGTGGTTAGTTGCTACCAGTAGCAACTTTCTCTGCCCAGTCACTTGAGGCAGTTGCCCAACAAGATCTATGCCTCACTAGGCAAATGGCTAGGGACTGGACACTAGATTCAGATCTACAGCTGGCTAGTGTATCAAAGTTGCAAACCTTTGACACTTCTCGCATTACATAGTCTTCAACGTCCTTCTACATATAGGGCCACTAGTATCCCTGAGATATGGCCCTGTGGGCAAGTGATCTGCCCCTAGCATGGCATCTACATACTCCCTCATGGATCTCATACAGAAAGTCACACATCGCATAAGGGGTCCAGTGAAGGATCTCCTGTATAGATGGCCTTCTGTTGATAAGCAGAACCTGGCCGACTTTAATCTGATCTTGTGCGCTTCCTTTTTGTCTGCTGGCAACCTGCCATCTCTGAGGAACAAAACTATGGCGTCCATCCAGCTTGGACACATCTTTATGCACATTGATTCATACTCTACTATTAGGGGCTCTATACTGGGCCTGATAGGTAATCCACTATTATTGTCCTTGCCTTACTCGACTTCATCGTGCTAGCGAGGTTAGTCAGTACGTTGACATCGATGTTATCATCTCAACTAACCTCCTACAGTCGGCAGTTTTGGAAACATGTTAATAACTTGACAGCCTCCTTGACATAGGCTATCATCCTCTCATCCTAGGCTGCGTACTCGCCCGTCTCTTGATTTACAATGAACTGGGAGCCACAAAAGACTACCGCCTCGTCGACTTTCACAGTTGCTGCCAATTTCAGTCCAATGATCAATGCATCATACTCTGCTTCATTATTTGAGGCCTTGAACCCCAAATGGATGGACTGTTCTATTATTCACCCATCTGGCGATACCAAAACAACTCTTGCTGCCACTCCTTGCCGGTTTGAGCTGCCATTGACAAAGAGACGGAAGGAGTTACCATTGTAAATATCGCAGGGTTTTAGCCTTTCTTCTCCCTTCTCTTATTCTTCCAGTGTGGGGTTCCATGGCCCCACTTGGTTTTCCTCCTCCTCTCCTAGACATCCTAGGCTACGGCTCACCCGTGCCTACCTTAGGATCATGCCTAAAGAGAATTCTTCCATAAAGTCGGCCAAAACTTGGCCCTTAATTGTTATTCTCGACCTGAATTCTAAGTCATACTGACCTAGAACTACAGTTCATCGAGCTACTCTGCCTGTCAGGTCTCCATGCTACAACAGGGATTTTAGTGGATGCTTGGTTAGCACCACAATCTTGTGGACTTGAAACTAATGGTTCAACTTTTTCGAGGCCATTACCAGAGCCAATGTTAACTTCTCCAAAGGCAGGTACCGGGTTTCTACATTTGCTAAGGTCTTGCTCACATAGTTAATTGCCTTTTGTTCACCTTCTTCTTCTCGGATGACCACAGCACTCACGACGTGGTCTAAAACTGCTAGGTACAAGAACAATTCTTCTCCTAGTACCAAATTAGACAACATTGGTGCAGTTGTCAGGTACTTTTTCAAGTCGGCCAGGACAATTTTACATTCTTTTGTCTACAAAAAGTCTGTGGCTTTCTTTAATAACTGAAAAAATTATTTGCATTTATGTGAACTTCGGCTGATGAACCTATTTAGGGCTGCTATCCTACCAGTCAAAATCTAGACTTGTTTCACTGTTGTCGAGATCTTCAGATCGAGGATGGCCTTGATCTGATCTGGTCTCGCTACAATTCCCCTTCTAGTTACCAAGTATCCCAGAAACTTATCGGATCCAACTCCAAATGCACACTTCGAGGCATTGAGTCGAAGTCAATATTTCTCAATATGTCAAAGACCTCTTTCAAGTCGGCCAGATGGCTCTCTAGTTCCTTGGTTTTGACAACCATATCGTCAATGTAGACCTTCACTGTCCTCCCAATTAGATGTTTGAACATTTAGGTGACCAACCTTTGGTACGTCACTCCTGCATTCTTCAACCCAAAGGGCATTACTCTATAGCAATAGAGTCCTTTGGGGGAAATGAATGTTGTCTTTTCTTCATTTGGGGCATATATTGCTATCTAGTGATACCCTCTGTATACATCTAAAAAACTCATCCTTCCATGCCCCAATGTGGCATCCACCAGCTGATCAATCTTAGGCAGTGGGAAGCCATCCTTGGGGCAAGCCATGTTCAAGCTTGTGAAGTCCACGCAGACCCTCCACTTGTCATTCTTCTTCTTCACCACCATTGTATTGGACAACCAGGTGGGATAATTCACTTCTCAAATGGCATGTGCCCCTAGTAGCTTCTCCACTTCGTCTTCAACTGCTTGCACATGTATCAATGTCGGCCTTCTTGCTCTCTAGATGACAGGTTTAGCCGACCTGTCCATGTTAAGTCTGTGACAAGTGACCTCGGGGGTGATCCCTAGCATCTCATACGGTGTCCAGGCAAACACCTCTATGTTCTCTCTCAAGAAACCCTCTAGTTCTCTTTCTTCTTCTTCGGCTAAGCTAGAGCCGAGGAGGAAGAGTCATTCATCATCAACTTCTTATACCAGAACCTTTTTCAAAGGTTCTTTGCTCTTCTCGGCTGGTTCTTTACCGACATCATCCAAGACCTCGTGGTCTTCGCTTTCAATCTCTACACTCTCAACTTCCCTTACATTACAGGTGTACTTTATTACTTCCATGGAGTAATTTTTCACCTGTACTTGGTCTCTTCTTACTTCTTTAGTCCCTGGTTTAGTCGGGAACCGCAACAGTTGGTGCAACATTGAAGGAGCAACCCTCATTATATGCAA